TAGAGTACTTTCTAAATGTATAGATTTTTGAATATTAAATGCAACTATTTCTGGATTTTTGTGGATTTATCATGTAATATCACATTTTCACAATTTAATAAGAAATTAAACTGTCATAGTTATTTGTTGATTCTCAGTTCATTCTTTCAGTAGTGATTTACAACAATTCAGGGTGGTCCATTGCTGGCTGAAACCCTGGGTAAGCTTGAGTTTTCTCACCGCTTTGGGTGGCCACCTGCTTCGCCTAATGACAGGCATGGAGTGGGACAGCTCAGGAGATTTATACCCAAGAACAGCCCATTTTGTGGTCGTTCTGGGGGAACTTTGATGAGTGATAAGTCTTATCTGATAAATTTATTATTGACATTTCAAGAAGAAAATAAATAAATAGCATATTGAACTGATAAAGCAGTCTGACTTTTTCAGCCCTGCCTGGACTCTTTCTAAACATCCCTCATTTGAGAAACTTCCAGTGATTAGCAATAGTAAGTGATGAGTTGGGGCACCTCCACAACCGGGCACCGCGCTCACTTAGTTCTAATGACAAGTGATTACACTGACGCATGAGCACATATTAGCACGTTTCTCTATGCAGAGAAACTGTGGTCTATTGTGTGTGTGTGTGTGTGTATGTGCATGAGAAAACTTGCTGGTTAACATTCTGAAGTGTTATTTTGCTTCCGACCAGCTGTGTTTTTAACTTGTCACGTTATTTTGTTTCTGACCGGCACAACAGCTATGAGGGCCACCGGGAATTCTCCTGAATCTCCCAAAGGGCCACTCTGGGCCTGCCTAATGGGTTAACCAGTACTGGGGTAGACATTCCTGTTTATGAGGCAAAGGGAACTTTGAATTCCAGTGCTGTGACAGGTATAGTAGTGGTTAAAGCAGACTTGGGCTTATCCACTGAGAAAGGCATTAACCCAAACGTCTCCAGTAAAACATCCGAGGATTAAACATCTCAACGACGTCACTGAGCATATACCTCCCAGTCAATAGGTGGCAGCAAAACAGCACGAGTGCGATCAAGGCAGACGAGCATAAGGAGGACAGCTTTTCCCCAGCCGCTCTGGAGTAAGACCTGGGGTTGTCAAAACCATCCTGGTCCCCTCTAGCTCCAGCCCTTGCTATTTTTGATTTCTAAAGACAAATCATTCTGTTAAACCACTTTTGCTTTTATGGCTGTTGATGCTTTGCACTGGCATTACAGCCAGGGCTAGACTTAAGGTTTGCTTAAGGGTTGGGGTCGGGGTTAGGGTTTCATTTAGGAATATAGAAAATGTTAATATTGGCATCAGGGTTAGGCTTGGGGTTGGAATTACAGTTTTGGCCAGTGTTAGGGTTAGTGATACCAAAAAACATGAAACATGCATAAAGTCAGTTAAAAATTTAAATAGAAATATTTTCCTAGGAACTGGAACAATACAATAGATTCAATATGATTTATTGGCCATGTGCAACAAAATTCTTTTTTGTTCAGCCACATAGAGTACAAAGAATTATAGTATACAAATAGATAACAGACATCATTCTGTGGAGTAAATAGCGCATCACAAGTCACACACAATGGAAGTAATATTGCAGTTGTGCAGACTTAGCTATTGATGAGGAAGATGGCTTGCAGGGAGAGACCGTTGCATGCTGTGGCACCCGTCCAGCAGCTCTGCCACCTCACCCCCGTTAGCGCGTTCATTATTGGTGATGACACTCATATCTGTGGAGTCATTTATAAAGCTGATTATACAGTTTCTTAAAGTAATAGATAAAGAGGAAGTGCAGCCTTGGGCTTAGTGAGCGGCCTTGAGAAGTCCCCATGTTGATGAACACTGGGGATGGGTTTTCACCACCTGGGGTCTGTCTGCCAGGAAGCTCAGGACCCAGCTGCAGCTAGTGATGCTGAGGCCCAGTTTCCGGAGGTTTTCCACCATGTTGTCCAGCAGGATGGCGTTATAATCTGAGCTGAAATCAGCAAATAATATTATAGATTAGATGTTCCACTTGTACAGGTGTTCAGAGGTGGTGTGAAGGACAGTCAGGCAGACATCATGATCCAGAGAATCTGAAACAATGCCATTGATGTGCCCCATGACCAGTCTGTCTATGCACCTTATGGCCACTGGGGCTCATGCCACCGGAAAGTCGGGGCTGCCGTATAGGTGGGGGAAGTTAGGATGATTCCAAGAGTCCCTGAGTGAGGGGGCCCTAAAAAGTTTGGAACATAATAGGATTGGTTTGGGTTGGGAGCATGGGAGCATAAATCTCTAGTAATCATGCAAACATGACACCTCTGATATTTTCAGCGATGGCCCAACTGCTGTCCTCCAGAAGTACAGTGGGACAGTGGGACAGGGACAGAGATATTGGAGATGTCAGGGAAAACATGAGCTCTGCATCTTGGCATGCAGCTGGTTTTTCCAGTAATTGATGAACAATACAGCATCAGTGAACAATATCGTGACCTACCATATTAAATATAAAATTTGTGCTGCAAAACCTGCATTACACTTGGCATTGGGTCTAGGATTAGGGTTAGCATTACAGATATTGCTGGAATTTAGGTTATTACCATTATAATTTTAGCTAGATTTACCCTTGGTATTAGGGGTACAGTTACATCTGGGTTAGGATTATGGTTACAAGTCTGGGTTAGTATAACCTTCAGGGTTAGGGCTATGGTTAAGGTTAGGTTTAGCACAAGGTCAAGGTTGGCATTAGGAATTGGGCCAGGGTTTGGGTCACATTTACCATCATAACTGGGAAAATGGTTATGTTACACTGTGCAGCTATATGTTGCGTCACTCTGATGGGGGAGGGGTGGATTTAGGCAAAGAAGTCTGCTTTGTATTAATTTTGGGAAAATCCTTACCTTGCATCTCCAGGTAATATTTCTTCTTCATCCATTTCCTCCCCTATATAGAGCTAATACATTTGGGACTATTTTGGGGTTGAGGCTCAGTCATAGGAAATTCCATTCAGACTGCACGCTCTTTTTATACATATTCCATGCACACAGACATGTAATATATTCTTTAGGTTAGATATTGCAGATTCAATCCCCATATGTTTACTTCAGCGATACACTACATTTAATATTATAAACTTTTTTTACTCTATAAATGCATGTATCACATTAAATTTTCCAGAGTTTAACATAATTCAGAGGCATTCTTGGGACATGATGATTTCATAGGCGTCAGGGATTGCGGTGAAGCAGAACTGGAGCAAGCAGAGCTGGGACAAAGATAAGCATTAATATCTGCCATTTTTCTCCCTTCGCATACAATTAAGGTGAATAAAAAGCCTCACAAGGCACAGTGGCTGTAAACGCTTTAGGTAACTGTCTTGCTTCGTTAACACAGCTGCAATAAGTTCCAAAGAAGGCAGACAGGGTTGCGGTTACCACACCTCATCTCCTGTAAACTGCTTACTTGCAACCTTTGCAAATCAGCAGATCACATCCTTGCACGGCAGTCCTGAATTAAAGGCTGCGATCAAAGCGCCGGTGCTGGGCCACAGGAAGGCCTGCCGAGGACGCACCCAAAACTCATCAATGGGTATTTTTATGGCTACACAGCAGATTTTTTAAAGGAGCGTCAGACTGCATAAATGCATCTCAATCGAAGGAAAATTGGGTTACATGTGTTCGACTGTGAAGAAAGAAAAGAACTACAAGCGGCCAGAAACTCTTAAACGAATGCAACCTCCCCTGCCCTCCCCCTTGGAAATGAAGATTATTTTCAGCTGCGCAAGACTGGAGGGATTTACGTTAACCCTAAACTCTCAGTTCCTGCTTGGCACTAGTTGCATGGCAGGGCCGTGAAGTGCAGGGGGGTGCCCAAAAAGTATATAAATGACCGTGCCACTTACCCATCCAGCTCCCCTCACGACCATTTCCGCTGGCGGCGATCAGGCCCTGGCGGGTCCATGCGTGAGCGGCTGGGCCCTGGCACTGGACATAGAGTTGGCTGTACCTACCTAATGTGCTTTTTTTTAATGATCAGCTGTCATGCATGCAATCCAAAATGCAAATATTGCATCCTTCATCCATTTGTGTGCCGATTTGGATCAGACCCTTGACCAACATGGAAACTTAATATGCAGGTTCCAAAGTGTGCATGCGAGTCCCTTGCAGGTGTCAGCCCCACTTCTCTGTTACTGCTAGGGACATGCCTGGTGTTACCTATATTGCCTGTCTTATTTATTTCTACAAAGTCAGAGTAAGAATTTTTAACTGTCCTCAAACGTACAGACCTACATCGCTTCTCATCGTGCAAAACGTGCAGTGTTTGCTGAGCGTCATTAATCGCTCGGCTGCTGCATATTAATTATACTTCGAATTACGAATAATTGCTTTGAAAAGCTGAGTTTAAATAACACACATTGGTTTGCTGATGTAACCTAATACCCAGTTTATCCGCAGGCGACTGTTTTAAGGCTGCCCGGTTGTTTTAGCCTGGATGCGCCCCTGATCGACCAGCGGTTAAAGTGACCCTGCAGATGTGAACGCTCACCTGGAATAGCACGAAGCTCCGACCAAAGGGCCCAAAAGCGAAGTACTTATGTCACACATTTTATCTTGCATCAGCACAGGCAAGCGATCACGGACAGGAATGAGCTGCATGGACTGAGATTGCTCGCTTATATGAATCACTTCCGATGAAAGTGCCCAGGCGCCAGCACTAAAAATATTATTTTAGATACAGACAGTGCTTCCAGAAACAAACAGTGGCCACGAATAAAAACGAGTGTTTTGATTTAAGTCAATAATGCACGACTTTTATTACCCGTTTTACGATTAAACACCCCCCTCCCCCTTTTAGCAGCCGCATTTGAAAACTTTTATTTCAAGGTCAACTGGTGTAGTGAATCCTTTTCCCCTATAGAAAATCGCAGTATCGTCAGTAAATAAGGTGATCAAAAAGAAAGTATTCCTGGCCAGTTTAGTGTTAACAATGACGAGCGATAAAAACCAAGGATCCGAAGCTGTAATTTCAGTGTGCCTTGTCCACGGTGAAAGGGTGAAACGGAGAATGGGGAGGGTAACAAAAGCGAGAAGCGAAGGGTTGCGCTTTTTAATGACTCGGTGAGACTGCATAACAAGCCTCTCACCTATTGTGAGAGTCTACTTGAAATAGGCACGGAGAGGAGAGGAGGGGACGATCGCAAGGGAAGGCAGTGCTGGGGGATCGGTCGGTCGGTAATTGTGTGAACCAGACCACCGTCCACACATCGGACAAATGAAACTGCTGCTGTGGAGCTCAGGAGGGACTGGAGTTTCATGTCAAAGGCTACTACTGCCTGCCTTTTATCACTTCTGAAATTAACAGTGTCTCATCTTGCTTGAGTTGTGACAGCGGTGATAGATTTTGATCTGGCTGTTGCACTTTATTGGCGTTTATTTTTTTTTATTATTGTTTAATTAGCCTATTATTTAATTGGCAAGTGGGATGCTCATCCACTCAATGAACTGGAAATCTTGAACCTGACGCGTACTCTTCTTAATCTTATCCACTTTTTCCAGTGGGAGAGTTTTTCGGATCTTTATTTTTTCCTGCCGCTCACACCGCGGCAATGGGAGCGCTTCTGGGGGACTTGGTGCCGGCGCTGTGCCGGAAAAGTTTCCACTGGATTGCGCTGGTCCTATGGTTCACCTCCGGCGTACTGGGGACGTGGGGAACGGGACTGTACAAGTACCAGTCCGGGACACATCTTAAAGAGCCGTCGGGGGCTGCAAGTGCCCTCTATCAGAGAAGGTATGTAGGCTATATGTTAAAATGAACATTAAGAAACATAAACTTTGTTTCAACTAGGAAAACGTGTGTAGACTGTTGTCTGCATTTTATGTGCAGACAATACTCATCTTTAGATACAGTAGCCTAATATTTTATCACGGATTACCGCAAACCATTTCACCAACTTCAAAGCCTGACATTATAGTCTATAACTTTTAAAGAGCTAATTAAAGGGGGCACAGTCCTTTGTAGCATCCATCACATTGTTTCCCGATCGCTGTCCCAGAATAGAGTCTATAATTAACGATGAGGAAAGATAAAAGGCTACATACAGGGTGACACCGAGCGTAAATCATTCATGCATCCATCTTACAGCCGCTTATCCTGCTATTGGGGTCGCGGGGCCAAACGTAAATCAATGTTTGTGTAGCTATACCTGCACCGATTATAATTAACATACAATGTGCAATAGCATGTCATACGAAAATTAAATAAATAGTTGAAATAATTGTAAGTAGCTACGTAGCGTGTTTCCCATTTTTTTTTTGCTTCGTTTTGCTAAAGTTGATTTAATTTGGGGTAAAACTTGGATTTCTTGTTTTCCTATATATCTGTACACCTGTCTACTGTTCTCCCTTTATCTCTCACGCACATGTCGTTCTTGTGTCAACACCAGTTTAAGTCTCTTGTTAGTGGAGGAAATGTCTCCTCTTCAAGTTTTTTTTTTAAATTAGCCTACCGCACCAGTTTTTATGAATGTAATAATTTATTTTGAGCATATGTGCAAGCCGCTTTTTCCCATTCGTATCCTCAATATTTTGATTTATCTTCTTAGGTGATGCCGTTAGCTAAGTTACTAGTATAACATTTCAATGAGGCTGTTTTTGCCAGATCTTATAAACTGGGACCTGCAGCCCTGTGCTCCTATAAGTGCAGTTTCTTTAGCCTCCATTACACCTGACGTCCCATTATGTCCGTGGGGCTGTCAGCAAAACATTGTTATAGGAGCCTCGAGTTGAGAATAAATACTTCTGTGCCTGCTTGCATAAGCATATTTTACCGCAGATCTCGGTTTGCAGCATATCAGCTTTTCATAATCCCCACCGGCCGTGTGCTATGCCTTAAGTTTCGCGCCCCGATCCTCTAGTGATGCACTGTCTTTGTTGCCTGTCAGCGTCGTTGGCGATTGTGGGTGCTTTTGGAGACTCAGACTAAACACGAACAAATCACCAGAATCCACTTATCTTTTTAAAGCATGCGGGCGTCGACACGATCGGGTTTCTTTAACCAAATATTTACCCTTGAATCTGAATTACATCCTGTTACGGACGCTGTGCTCATCCTGTCCCGGGCTTCGCAGGTGGTGCGCCGGGGTCGAGGCACCGGTCGTCCGTCTTCCACCTCCTTTCCACCCCTGGCGGTCCAACGCCACGTCAAGCGGACCTGTTTACTAGACAGCGGCAGCTGTGCTTGATGCGTCCGGGTTTTAAGTCGTTTATACACCCAGCTTCCAAACAACTGAAGTGAGTGTGTTTTTGCAGAGCCTGTGTGGTCACGGCTGCGGTGATTTAATTCATCTGCTGTTAATGGCGTTCAAATGCGCTGTGCATAGACTAAAATGCAAATGAAATGGCGCAAATTTACGGTTACTTGTAATGAAGATTGAAGGCAAGGGAGGACGCTCAGACCACCATGCATTTTAGGAGGTATAATTCCTTAAAACACAGAGATTAATATCTCTCTTCATCTTTACTACATTTTGACAAGTGACTAAGTAGAAACAAAACAAATCTGGGTCAGTTGATCAGATCAGAAACAAAACTATTTGAAATCTGAGATGTCAGTCATACAAGCACTGGAGTATAGCCTCGTGGAATTGCCATAAGAACGTTTAATATCTGTCATAATTAGCTGTGTTGGAGTCACTGTGGATAACACAAGCCCAGCACGGTGGGGCAAATCTGTGTGTTGCCCCTGAAAAGAGGGTTAAACATACAGATGCTTACCATCGTGAGTGAACCATGAGTCAGTTCCACTCACACCTAACAAGAGCTTTTATAGTCAGCGTTTAAAGCAGGGCTTCCTGTTTCAGCCAGCTCTGTTCTCTAAGGTCGGCCCCTGGGGGTCATTAGCCCCTGACCCCTGTGTGTTGTCTTTGGAATCTACCCCTTGACCTCACCCACTATTCTTACCAGCAGGCGGGCCAATCACCCAGTGAGTTGACTCACAATCTCTCAGCTTACCCATTAACCTGCTTGGATATTTTTACCGAAACTTTCCAGACAAACTGCTTAACCCTAAAGTTAGTAAGGGGAATGACAGCCTTCTGCTCAAGATGCAGATCTTTCACTGTACTGGACAATCAAACAATATGTAAAATATGCCCAACAGTAAATTCAGTGGTTCCTGACAACTCATCACTCACAAGTGCCAAAAGTAACATCGTTATAATTGATTGAATTGGAAGGTTATACAATCAAATATGTCTTCTATGTACTAAAACTGTGATATCAGTTATTTTTTTTGCACTGAATGTGGTGTCAGTTCACCGCATGTTTTTCTAGTGCCGTTAATAACCACAGCAAGACTTGTCAGTTGATGAAAACTGATTGCAAGTGGATTCTGTCATATGCAAAGCAGGTTTTTTTCAATAAAACGTCTTTTCTGGCAAAGTACGCACATCTGTTTTCCAGGAGTTACTGTCTTTCCCGGGAAATTCCCTTCAAAATGTGTCCCCACAAAGATGCCAGAATGTGGACATGCGTGCGCTAAATGCTCCCAGACGCTGGCTTGCTTATACAGTGATAAGTGACGGGGAGGGGAGGGGGCAGAGAGCAGAGGCCTGGGGGGGGGGGGTCATCATCTTCCCCCTCAACCCCCTGGGTAGTCGTCTGTACTCAGTAAGCTCTTCACAACTCCGGTCATCTCATTGAAGATCTGTTGGTGCTCTCTGTTCCTTTTCAGTGAACCACAGCAAACTGTTTTTTTTTCCCCAAACCCCCCGACTGCCCTCTGCTGGGCCTTTAAGGTAGAGATGTCCCACCCCCAGCCCCAACGTATTGTTTGAACCTGGCTGAGGAACTCAACACGAAGGCCTATCGCTAATTTCCCCATTAGCCACCCCATTCACCCCGAACACTCGCAGCTGGTTGTCCCCGGTGAGAGCCCTGAGTGCCAGAGAAGAGTGGCTTCACTCCCCTGGCTGCCCCCTGTACCAACTATTAGCCACCCACTCCAGCTTTCCTTTAAGATGGTCCTTCACATGCAGTACTGTCTCCATGAGACTGATTAAGATTTTTCACTCTTTTTATGCAGATTTTATTTCTCTGGTGAATTTATCTCCAAGTCATGTGACTGATTTCAGGCTGCCCTCCCACCCCCAGTCCCCCACAGACCCAAATTCAGCATGACATCGGCGGTGCCCCAGTGTCTATCCAGCACATGAACTTGCCCTACTGAGCTTCTGCTTCCCCTCCACTTGTGGATTTCAGAGAGCAGATTCACCGCCCCCCCCCCCTCGCACCCCCCTGGCCCTCAGCCACATCTGTCCTTTGTCCCTTGTTTCCCGCAGCATTTTTTCCCACAGCCCACTGTCCAGAGGAATCCTTTGATTATGATCTCTATGAATTTCATTTCTTTCCAAATGCTTACCAACCACCTATCCCAAGCAGATGCTAAACATCAGCTTCTAGAAAGTGTAAAAAATGTCACTCAAATATAAACCGGGTTCAGCTCAGTAGGGGACACAGTTGAACAAGTAGGCTACTCAGCCACCTGTGCGTGATCCCACAACCTTCCCACAATCCCCTGCTTCAGTCAGTGGCCTCCCAGTGGTGTCACATGGACTGTTACAACCCTGTATTCTTTCTGTTGGCTGAACTAAACATCCATGTTCCGTGTGACGTTTTGGATCTGAAAACCTCCACAGAGCCGATGTTAGATATTTGCAGTGCACCAGCCCCTTGAATGCTCAGCAGTGACCTGTGAAGTTCCGCACGCTGACAGCTTCACAGTCTCAGTGCTCGTTCCTCTCCAATTTTTAGAATGTTATCTAACTGAGTGCTGCATATGTTGCGATTTATTGAGAAGGAAAAAAATGGAAAAAAGGGGGACTGTGTCTGAGAGGCAAGCACTGCACCTGCACCCCTCTGAAGACGTGTGCGAGTGTCCCGGATGGGGCCTCATTTGTAAACATGGGGCAACACTGTCACAGCATTAAAAAGCGCTTTCTCAGCAAAGTCCAGGAACTAAGTCCCTGGGCCACCTCAACTGTTAACTGTTATAGTTCCCACCACACAACAGGAACTTTATGCTACATAAGCATGGAAGATTCAAAAAGTTTGAATGTTAAACTTCACAAATAATTTCACACAAAAATACTCTGCCACTTCCAAACAATGGAGAATGAACAAGTCATATTGTTAGTTATTGGGGGGGCTCCCGCGGTATGAAAATGCAGGTCAAATTGTGTCCTGTATTGGTTCAAAATGGGACACTGCCTGTTATGTATACAGCCAGCGACGTGTGTATAATTTATTATTAAATCTGGCCAGCAGATCAATGTTTCATTTTTCTTAGAATAAACATGATGTAACATTATTTTCTAAAAAGTGTTGGCAAGTTTCATCACTGGCACCGCCGATGTTAGACAAAAATATATCAGTTATCGATAAAATTTTCAGGTACAAAAACATGGGGATGCAAGCAAAAAGAATAATTCATTAATGCATTTAATGTAACTGAAATGCAAAAATATTTCTATCTGCTCAGTTTTTACACCACTACTTCTATTGCGTCTATCCAGACAGTAGGTTTATCACTATAAGCCCCAATAGTTCCTGGTTGAGCAGAAAGTACCTACTCTGCAGTAGGGACTATTAAAAGGTTCAGGAACTACAGGTTGATTCCTGCAGTGGGAATGCAAAAGAAGTTCCTGGTTGCTGGAAAAAGTGGTGGGACAGCACATATATCAATGGGACATAAACCAAAGCCAGACCCACATGAGCCAACAGATAGCATGGTGCTTAATTTCATGCAGATGGTCGCAGGTTCAAGTTCCTGCTGGGTCCTTAATCCGAACTGCAAGCGTGAAAAATATCTGACAGTTGATAAAGTATATACTCCATGATTTGATATACACAGTAACAGAACAGTACCAGTCATTTAATAGTTTCCCTGGGCAGATTAATTGCTCTGCAATACTGTTGATGACTAATGCATTTACCACCAGTGCCCCACTAGGACTGGCCCTTTAACTAGTTCATTCCCTGCTGTTCAGTTGCCCAGGGTGTTGGTAAAAGTTTGCTGGGAACCAAGTAACCTATGGCCTTGTGAGACGAGAACGAGCCTTTCACTTTCACTTCAGCTCCACCCCTGCCATCGCCTCCCGCAGTTACTGAGCGACAGGTTAACCAGCTGGGCAGGAGGACAAAGCCGCTCCCATGCGGGACCCGGTTGATCGCTATCAGCCTTCGCTCTAAGTGTGGGGTATTGGCGAATATTTGTAATGTCCGGCTTGCTTTGAACGCTATGGCTACCGATCAAACGCAGTTCCCTGCTGCGCAGTCAGATGCTCGCGTCCCTCTGTGATTGCTGGCAGGGTGTCAAGTTTTCATACAGATCTGAGCATAAAGCCTCCCCAGTGCTAATGCATACATGCTCGAACCCGAGTGACGCTCTGTGACCTGGTGGCAGATATGGGGATGGGGCTAATCATAACTGGATTGTTGATTTGTGCCTATAGCCCTGTCAGGCCTGGGGATGGTGATTCTGGATCGGAACCTCTGCAGATTTGGTGGCATTCATTACGCCAAGCATGCCGGGGGGGGGTGTTTAAGGGAGGGTGCAGCTTACAGAGTCCCCGCAGGGGTGCATTCTTCCACACAGGCCCCGGTGCCGGAGCGGTCTTCGTGCTGGGGCAGCGTGTGAGAGCACTGATGTCGCAGGCCAGCAGGGAGGCCGCCGTCCTGCTCTCCACAAACACAAGGGCTTGCTGGGAAAGGGAACAGAGCTGCACTCACGTACCTGGCAACCCGCCGGAGGGCGAGGCAAACCACTGAGCGTGTCGAGGGGGAAAACCGCAGCCCCCTCAGATTTCATGTGGATAGCGACATGTAAAGGGAACGGTACAGCTCTCTTTGAGGATGAGGCGGAGGGGCGGGGGGGTGGGAGTGCTGCTGTCTTTTTTTTATGTCCTGTGAGGATTAGATTGGATGCTGTGTCTCTTTTGGGTCAGCAACCCCCCCAGCCCCCCATTCAAATCCAAGAAGCCATCTCTGGAAAAGCGGACCCCATGTCTGAATCCTAAACTCGGAAATGGCTCACATTCCTTCAGCTGGTTCCTCGACCACACGGTCCGGCTCCAGTTCCACGCACAGCCCTGGTGTATGTGTGTGCGTGGGGGTGGCCAACTGAGCCCCTCTACTAGGTGCACAGGCCACCTCTGACAGATGCAGACGCACTTGCATGTGGACAAACTTATACGTACCTTGGTGTGATCTCACACACATCCAACATTTGTAAACATCCTTAGATATACACACACATTGATGCACACGTGGGCAGGCACTCAGACGACGTTTGTGTGCAAATGTAATGAAGAAAACACAAAAACACAGACAGACCGATAGCAAACTAAAAGTTCAGGCCCTTATTCTTTTTTAAAAAGGTTTTTTACATCTTAGAGCATCTATTTTTAGTATGTTTGCGAAAGACACACTTGTAGTGTACACACGCCCTCGATCTGCAAATCCTCCGTGGTCTCAGTCTGTAACTACCGTAATCGTTTTCAACCTCACACCTTCGCTACAGCTCCAGCCATGTGGGGCAAATCATCCCGTTTGTCCGTTTCATTCTTAATAAAGGCTCATAAACACATGTTCGCCTTAATCACCTCCGTATGTCCCTCCTGCACAGACTCTCGAGGCCACTCGCCTCATGGGCCCATCAAATGAGCTTCACATGCAGGAGACTCTGAGCCGTCATCTCACTGAGCCTCTGTGATGAGGAATCTGGCCTTTATATTCATCTCAAGCTGTGAATTATCTTAAGGGCGTTCCCTTTAATCAAACAAAGGCGATTCTCCCGTGACTTTGGGGTCTTAATGAAAATATTAATATTATGAGTTACATTATTGACTTATAAATGTGGTTCGTTCAGATTTTCTTTTATGTTTTGGAGCCGAATGGGGTCTTTGCGGCCCCCTGAAATCCGCTCTCCTCATCAGGTTTCTTCTGCTTACCTCATTTAACTTGGGTGACTTGCCGGCGGCTTCGGTTTCTGGCCACTGTGGCGATTCGGGGCTGGCTTTTATTAGACCCTCGTGGCCGGCATCGGCGGAGGGGTGGATGGCCTCGTACCAGCGCCCTGCCCCCCAACCCAAGATCACCGGTACGATGTATACGGGGGGGAGCAGCTTGCAGCTGCGGCATGTGTGGGGGCTGCGGGGGAGGGCTGACGGATGTGTATCAATATGGGGAAAACCGCGCAACGTAAACACAGCCCCTGGAGTCCTGCCTGCTTGTCTGAGGCTGATTTGGCGAATGGAAATGCTGGGGATGATCTTCAAAGGAGGGAGGGATCAGAGTCCCTCAAGGCAGCCCACTCCCGCAGGGGGAGCTGTCGTTGTGCGGGAGTCTGTGTTTAAGCATGTGTGTGCCCATTGGCTGTCTATCTGTACCTGGATCTAGGTGTCAGGTGATGGATACCCCTGCCAGTATCCATGTGTTCTTCCTCATCCCTCTTCTTCCTCTCCCTTTGAAACTTCATCCTCTGGGTCTCAGTGCCAGCTCCCTTCCCAGATTTACAGTCTGGTTTTATTAGGCTGGTGCCCTTTCTCTCTCAGATGGTATACACATTCGAGTTAGAAGCAGACCGCCCCCCCCCCACCCACACACACACACACATTCTGAGCTTATATTCCCACATGCTGTAGTTGCTTAGCAAACTGCTTTGTTCAAACTGACTTACAGGCTCCTGGGATTTTATTGGATTTATATGCAGGTTCCTGCTCCAGCAGTTCCCCTGCTTAAGGACAGAGCAGCAGCAGCGCTACTGGGTCATGTGTGTGGAAAAGTTTGGTCACCCGACCCCATAACCATTACCACTCTGACTGGGACACTTGTTGGGTGTAAGATGCCTGGCTCCTGCCCCATTTTTCTCACCAGCTGCAGTATCCCCCCCCCCCTGTCTTTGTCTCCCTGTCATGCAGAAACTGGTGCCCCCACGTGGTGACCCGGACCGTGACCTGCCAGGTCCAGAATGGAACAGTTCTGCAGCGTGTGTACCAGAACTGCCGCTGGCCACAGGGCTGCTCCGGAGGCAGGTGGGTTGGGGGGGGTATAGGGGTGAAATCGTATGGGGTGTGACAGGTTATGCGTATGTCTGTGTGTGTGTGTGTGTGTGTGGGGATTAGGTTTATTTTACTTTGTGGGGACCATATATGGTTATTATTATAATGTGGTTATATACTTATGATTAAGGTTGGGGCTGGGTAAGGCTTAAGGTCGTCATGTTGGGATTAGAATTTTCCCCATAGAAATGAATGGAGAGTCCCCACAAAGATATAATTACAAACATGTGTGTGTATTTGACAGAGAGAGAGAGGGAGAATAGAGAGAGTTGTGTTTGTGTGCTCAGTGTTTCTGTGTGTCTTTGTACCTTAGAGAGTCTCTCTCCCTCCAGCTACCGCACCGTGGTCAGGCCGTCATACAAGCTGGCGTACCGGACAGTCACAGCGCTCGAGTGGAAGTGCTGCCCGGGCTACCGCGGGTTCCACTGTGAGGAAGGTGAGATGAGAGGGGCAGGGTATGGGGGCGGGGCTCAGACCAGCGATCCATACAACCTATGAATGACTTGTTGGAATGGATGGATGGCAGAGGACATGTGTCTGCTGTAAGCCACCCCCTTCCCTGCCTGCCTGACATCCCCACTTTTCCTCCTGCGATGGTCTGCAGTCAAAAAGTGTTGCCAGACCTCTGCTATTTTAGTTTTTCTAGCACTCTGGGCCAGTAACAACCCGCAACACCAAACATCTGCCCTGCTTCGCTCCATGGTGGCACTGAGTGCTTTGAGTCTTTCCGGGAATGCGATACATGGGATGTCAGTTAGCTTGAGGTGTCAATTTCCCTACCATATCTCTGACCCAGGCCAGACAGGGAGTCCTGGTAGCCGTGAGAAATCATTGGTGCCCTGCAGGAAAACACACACGCATCCATAAACACGCCTCCCACTCACACACACTCTCATCAATATTGAAAACCTTAAATGACATGGTTTGCTCTCCCAGGGGTGGTTCCCATGCAGTTCAGCAGCGTGTCACGTTCCATTCTAGCCAGCTGAGATTACAGGTTCCACTTAAGCGAAAGTGACAGATTGCTCTCATATCGCTTGTCACATGTCGTTTCTGCCCATTTCTGTTGTCACCAGCCTGCAATCCTGAATCTCCTGTCATTAGAGGTCTGTTAAATCAGCGATATGGAAAGTTCTAGAAATTGGACAGTGACTGTATTTTTGTAAAGCTCCCTTGCTCTTACTGGACTCTCAGAAGTTGGCCATGAGGGTCTGAGTGCCCCACCCCTGGCCCCCTGTCTGCTTTCTTGTCAATATATGTCTTTGGCATAATGGAGCATCTGTACTGCAGACGGAGGCTGTGGGTTGCAGGTCACAGAGAGTGTGGGTTGAAGTTCATGGTAGCCTCTATACCAGCCTTTCCCTGATTTGCACATTTGCAGAAACCACATGTATTGTTTGAGTGTGTGTTGCACCAGCTTTGTACGCTGTGCAGATTACCATCAGCTCACATTTTAAGATGGCCCTCACCTCTGTTGTGTCTTTGACTAAGTGACTTCTTCAGTTAAAAAAAAAAAAAAAACAGCTGTAAATATTGCCAACATTGCAAGCCCGTTATGCAAACTAGGGCACAAGCAGTGACAATAACAGAATCAGATACATGATCAATGGAAGTGATTTCCCACATCGCCTTGCAATGCATTTCCTGCAGAATGATGTCATTTCGTCTGGCTGCAACACAGGACAGAACCATCTGGGGATGTGTTCCTGTCCTGGGCTGAGTCAGCCTTCCTTTCCGGGTGTTAGTGTGTATTTAGTTTTCCCATTCAAACCTTCTGGAAATGTTGTCTCTCTCTGCATCAGTAAATTGCCTGCTTGGTAAGATAGTCGTTACTTTGCTCTTGGAGAATAGGTTTAAATTCTTCTTTTCTAAAAAACAAATGGCTTTGGCCTCAGTCAGCTGGAGGTCCATCAGATGGTTCATTGTTGTGATGTCAGCTTCAGTCTCCCCTTCAAAACACCTCTGATCTCCCCAAGGCCCTGCATGGGGTTTCCAGCATGGGGTCCTCGGTTCAGAGTTTGTTCACTTTCTGTGGACTTACAGGCCACGGAGATGATGGATGGGTGCTGGTATGTCCAGGCTGGAACACCTTCTCTTCTCTGAGAGGCCCAGCTGAATTAGAGCCATGTGCTCCCTGCAGCACTGCAAGCTAAACATGACATCATCTTTGAAGTGTAACGATATCTCCATCAAACAGTTTTAAAACGGCTCCCATACCTGAATACTGGGCATGGGGATCGTAGCGTAAAAATACAATGCCGTGCCACATGATAAATATGAGGATAACTCCGAAATCTCCAGGCCTTCTTCAACTATTTCATATATCATATATCTGACCCACATATCCCTGAGCTTCCTTCCCTCGCCCCATCGCTAGCAGAAATGCCCTGTGGTGCCGTAACTATGGCGGTATATTGGTGCAGTCTGGACAGGTACTCCCCCAAAGCACTTGAAATGCAAATGCCTTAATCTCTCATTTGCAGAAAAAAGGCCCAAGTGTTTACACATGGAAGCGGAATTCATGCCCTCCTGTATTTTCACCAACCACAGTGTCATGAGACACTGCTGACTCTGTATACAGATATGGCGAACACTTTAACCACTCCCTTATGGTGCTTCCTTTACTTGGTTAGTTAACATTAGCTTTTGCTAGGTATAACATTTATTGGACTAACCCGACTGACCAAAGCAGACAGAACTCTGGGCTTACAGTTTAATATAGACCCCCCTCCCCCCAGCAGGCTGGCATACTGCCAGGTTTTTTGAGCATCTTGTAGGTGCTAAACCCAAGTAATGGATAGCGGGTCAGTGGAACATTCTGATGTCAATTAAAGATACCCAGTCAACATGGACAACTGTGGATGCCTGAGGCTGGGCAGCTCTGGTATAACCAGCAAAAGCCAGAAAATGTATCAGTGCAGGGACAGCAACAAAGTGGCGGCAGCTTTTCACGGATTAGGAAATTACCATGGCTGTCAAATAGCAGCATCGGGGCTTCGTGATAAAGCGATTCCCTTTTGCGCCAGATTCCGGCAGCATCTGTGCTTTCGGCCATTATTACCGTGGAAGGAAGAGGCGTTTGCCTGATGCAGCCAAAATGTAATCTGTGTTTTCACAGCTCGGTGCAGCTTATCAGCAAAGGCGCACATGCTCAGGCCGGCTGGCAAAACGCAGCCCACTGCCACCCGCCATTATTCACGGGGATTGGAGAATGCGGGGGAGGATTTGCATGCTGAACGGTGCAGATGTTCTAGGCAAGTGTGAAGGCAAAAGGCGATTAAGCAGAAGATGCGAGTGGCTACGTGTTCCTTAATTGGTCTGGGACTGAATGGCCAGTTCTGTCAGCTGCTTGCTCCGTCTAACCTGGACCCATCAGAACATCGATTGTGCCCCAGTGGGCTATGATACACTTGCCCGGGGTGGTGTCCAAACCCTAGATGACTTTCCTGTTTTCCTGGGCACCATTTGTCTGAGCGTACCCTCATTAGTACATGCCCACATTTTATTAAGGGAGCTAATGGGGATGAAGCACCTCTGTGGCATGCGGACTGCATCCCATCATCAAAGCACAGCAGCCCATATGACCCTTTCAGCTCAGCTACTCTGCTGAACACTGAACATTTCATCCTCACACTTATTTTGGGTGTGTCGGCTTGTTACTTACCTCCCTGATTCTCGCTGATTCTTGCTGATTCTCGCTGATTCTCGTGTCTCGCCCATTGCCCCCCACACCCCCATCAAGGCTTAATTTTCCTCATCTTTTTTGCCCAGGCTCATATCTGCCCCAGATTTGCGTCAGTGCTCAGCAGGGGATTCGAGGGGGGGGGGGGGGGGTGAACCGCTGGGGTGCACGTCGGCCTCCAGCTCACTACCCCCAAGCCCTGCCCCCCTCCCCCCCCCACATTCCCCCAGAATATAACTTCTCTGATCTGGGCCTCATGCATGTGTGTGCTTTATAAACAAACACTGGGGATGGATTACAGGCGTGGGGCAGTGAAGTGTGGAAAAGAAAAACAATTTAGTTGGGGGGTGCAGAATGAAGGACAGCAGAGTGAAAGCAGAATGGGGGGAAGGGGGCAAATTAAAAGCAAAGATCAAGCATTTGCTTTTTAAATGAAACTCACCATTTTTATTCCTGATTAATCACCCACTTATCCCATATGTGCAATAGCCAATGAGTTACTCAGTGCCCTGCATGGTTTGAGAATCCCCAGCCTACTTCTATGAACTAATGCATTTGAAAGCTTACAGCCGGAAGTGTTTTGTGGTGCATTTCTCAGAGAGAATCAAAAAACAGTAATAAAATGTTCCAGTATTATAGGTATCTGACAAGTGAAAAGATCAAATCCATTCCAAGAAATCATGTGTAATCATTGTAATGACAGGTTATGCTGATGTAGCTTTTGGGGTCTTGTATCTAATTAACGCCACCGGTAGATAACAATCTGTTTTTCTTCACAGACAGGTGTGGTGTGGGTTACGGGGGGATGGAGGTCATGTGTACAGATGCCTGTCTGTGAAATACTGCAACATTATGTCCTGCTGCCCTGATTTCAAGGTCACCGTAATAGACACACACCTCGTGCCCTATCCCCCATGCCTTGCACGAAGGATAGGCAGCATAGCAATATGTCTGACAGAGCCCTGGACCAAATTCCCCTATGATTCCCCCTCCTCTCACCCACCCTATCAAGCTGTACGGTATCGCCACAGGCCTGGCTTCCGGCCAAATCGTGTCAAGCCCCTCCAGCCCATCCCCTGTTATTGTTCAGGATGCCAGGGCAGCTGTGGATGCTGGACGCAGCCAAAATCAAATAAAAACACTGCATTCCCCAGGCTGCCTCCAGATGTGAGAAGAACCCAGATGAGAACCATGAGGCACACCACTGCCACCGCAGATTAAGTGTCACGGACACCTGGGTGTGTAGCACTTTAGGGACAATTAATGTTATGTATTTTCATTACTTGCAAACTGTAGCTGATCTGGTTTAAGAATCCAACAGCTAAGCCTCTACTGGTCATAGTACCAAAAGCCCTTTCGGTATAAGTCTTGAACTGGATCCGGTGCAGTAATTAAATAGCAACCTCGTTAATGCTACATGATTTGTCACCTCTGTGAATCTCATGTAATTAAAAATGGAATCTGCTGGCCCCCAGCTGCTGTATCTCCATGACTAGTTCAGCATGGCCATTCTAAATCCACTCTCACTGCACTGTAGCACCAAGACTTGCAGCTGGTCTCCTTTTCTGCTAGCTGCCCCACAGCTCCCTGACAAACGTGCGGCTGCAAAGCCACAAGGGAGTCGGGAATTTGAGGTCTGAGTGCGATTCCAGCTCTGAAGTGCAGCCGGAACTGGTTGGTTCTGGTTAGCTCTGTGCCTGGACCAGGACTTGGGCGCGCTGCTCCCGCTCTAACGCAAGGCACATTTCTCACAG